CCCCAAAACCCCAAAACCCCAAAACCCCAAAACCCCAGAGAGAGGCTTAAAATCTGAAAATATATATTTTATAAATGAATAATAGCTCTGAACATTCCTTAAGTCCTTTGCAGATCTCAGAAAGTCTTTCTGAGGAGAAGAAAGAGATTACTTGTAATATGTCTGTAGAGGGAAGCTCTATCCTGATAGCTGGACCTTCCCTTGAGATTGAAAGGAAGGATAATTTTGTCATCGGAGCTTTATTAATGTTTTCAGCAACAGTCCTGGTGACCATTGCCCATACTTCTGAAAAATATGTATTCTTGGGCAATCCGAAGGTCAAGTCATCAGATTTCTTGTTATTCGTGGGTGTTTACAACCTCTTACTTAATATGATACTATGAAAGATTTACAAAGTGGATTTGAGTATTATCTCCTGAAGAAAACACAACTCTGAGGATCAGAAGAAGATACTGAAAGCCAGATTTGCATTAGCAGGTAGGGTTTTATGAGGAACAATGAATGGTCTGGTCTCAGTTTATGCCATCAGCCAGCTCCCTTTATCGAAAAGTGTTCTGATATTCAGTCTCAATCCTATTTGTTGAGCAATACTTGGATATTTCTTATTAAAAGAAAACATTACAAAGACTACAATACTATGCATACTAGGAGCTGTTATTGGCATTTATGTTCTTACACTTAGTAAACAAGAAGATGGAAGCAGTGGAACTCTATCGGGATATATTGCAGCTATCATAACAATTTGGATGACAGGATCAGTTTTGGTCTTCTCAAGGTATTTGAACTTGTATGGGGCCCATTACACCGTAATTTGAATGGTTCTAGGATTATCAAATATTCTTCAGACTGTAATTATATCTTGTTTCTGTTCAAACTTCTTAAATTTCAGTCACTACAGACTGATTGATCTATTGATTCTAAATATTCATGGGATGCTCTCTGCAGTGTGGATTCCTCTGATGTTCCTAGCTGCTAAATATGCTGAAGCTTCTTTCATTTCTCCTATTCTTAACATCGAAAATGTATTCACCATTTTAATTGACATGTTTGTCTTTGGTTATACGTTTATCAGCACAGACTTTATTGGAATGAGTATATTGGGCACGTGCATAGTGATTCCAATACTCAAGAATTATTTTGGCAGGGAATAGAGAAAGTATTATCACTATTTCTAATATATCTAATTTTCAATAATTCAGTCCTTCAGAGGGGTTTTGGGGTTTTGGGGTTTTGGGGTTTTGGGG